AAATTATTTACGAAAACTGACAGAGTTACCAACACCGCGTTATCGAATGGTTACATTCTCAGAATGGTTACAGGCTCCTCGGGGAGGTATGCAGATCTGAGGTGAATTATTGCTTAGTCTGATGAGGTTTTAAAAACTATTTGAATAAATCTTTATTGAGCTATTGAAATTTTTAATTAATATTTTTTGGTTTTTTGAAAATTAACGAGAGGTATGCAATAAATACCCTGTATAAATTTATTCACACTACTGCAATCTAAATTACCTATTCAGTCCAGTTCTCTTATTAATTGTTTAAAAGCATGGTTTCACAGAATGAGTTTTACTCATAGTTAAATGAAGTAGTTAAATGAAGTATGCATTTGCATGAGAAATGAAATCAGCTAACAGGATCAACTCTTTAGGATGAATTGGTTAGTATTTCCTACAACTACACATTTTCACAATGGTGCACATTTTTTCATAGTCTGGTCATAGCATACGGCAACAATAAGCACCAAAAAAAAAGGGTACGAAATTAGAATTTTATTTGTTTGGGTCAAAGTACCCAAGTTCATATTCGGCTATTAGCTTTCACAGACGTTCAGAGAAAGGATATGTGCAGCACTAGTAGGATTTGATAACTACACCACCATGTGATTTTACACAAAAACCGAAATGTCAACGTAATACTAAAAGCTGCTGTCAGTACTTATACAGGATATTGTGTCCTTCGTTCTTTTATTTCATTTTGAAATATTTCTCTTTAAATATATTCATCTTTTGCTTTAATTTCTAGATTAAGCAATCTAAAATGGATTAAATTTGCATATTTGAATACATACAAATATAGTAGTACGTGTGTATTTCATGCCTGAATCCTTTGATGTGAGTTTTCACTTATGTGTCGTTAGCCTTTTGTATATTTGAGTGTGAAATCAGTTAGTTTAAAGTATCATATATAAAGAATATTAAATGTTTTTTTTTCTACACATTCATAGAAAAGGAGCAGATACCTCTTCCATAACTTAACTTATACAAAAATTTTAAAGGATTACTTTTATTATTATTTTTTGAATTATTTAGTTTCATATGTAAATCTAAATTGCCGTTGTTCCTGAAATAATTTATAGCTGAGTAAATTGCGGAACTAAATTTTTTCGTTTTGGTGTTGGCATACATTTTTAAAATTTGTTAACTTCAATTTTTAAAACTTCCTCAAACCATACTACTACTTCAGCTCGTACTACTTCAGCTAACAGGCAGTATCTAGAAGTTAGTTGTAATTGCCGTTTATGTTCGCATGCTCTCATCCAAAGAGTAGTAAATTCTGTTGTACAGCAAATTGTTTGTTGCTCCTGTGTTTTCCTTTTCCTAAATCTTCCTTTCTTTTATGCCTCCATCGGAGATTTGCATTTGTTATGTAAAATGACAAAAGTTGTTAACTTATTTGCATACTAACAATTTTCAGTAATATTAAGAGTTTTCCTTTACTTATGTACTCCCATCATGTACAATGTTTTCTCCTGGTTTTCCTCGGAATTGACAATTATAAATTGTTTGATTGCAATTTCATCATAAAGTTTTCAAGTTCGACGTTTGGAGTACATGAACTTACGAACGCCATAGTTTACCTAGAATGTGTAACTTAAACATTCAACTGACTCAATATACAACTGACTCAATTGTGATGTATTGTCACACCAACTTCAATTTTTATAGTTTTTGGTACCATATGGAAGTACATATTCTGTACATATTCGTACATGGAAAATTTTTTACATCTCAATACATTGTCTTATTCCCATCAGGTTGGCTTCATTTGAAATTCCAGCTGAAGAGTAGATATTGTAGGAGTGACATTATCATTAAAGTTCTTAGTTAAAATTTTTATCATCACCAGTTGATTTTAATTTTTACATATACAACATTATTTGTCAACAAATAGTCAATTTTGAAGCCGCGAGAAAAAAACACTTCAGCTTCAATAAAACAGATTATTGGGGCTGCGTTCAGGTTAGATTACTTAAATAATTTCAGCTTAATTCATTTTAGACAATTGTGAATGATGACTCGAAGAGAATGTCCTAACACAGAGTTTGGTTGACATTATCTTGATAAATGGTATTATCCAAGCTGTTGACCCTATTGAAAGAGATTCATTTTGAAGATCAATTGTATAATTTTATTATCTGTTGTAGCTTCTCTTTTAGTAAAATTATAAAAAACCATTTTCTATTGAAAGTAAATCCCTACAGTTTATTTAAGTTGACTGGTAGAAAATTCCTTATTAAGGAATTTTGACAACATCAGAATTTCTAAGTTACAAAATCCATTGAAAGGGACTCAATGTAAAGATTTATAACAATATTTAATTTGTTTAAGTTACATATATTGATTTTTTTGTACTGATGTTACAAAGGCCGCTCATAGAAAACAGCTATCTGTTCAATATAACTCCTTATGGCCGCTTGTTTATTGTTAGTCAAAGAGAATGTCTTGATGCACTACCCTAACGATATCTTTTATTGTTCATGTTTTACCAGTTCTTACCCCTATTGAAAAACTCTTTAAATTTTGATGTATTAAAAGTTTTAATTAAATCTATTGATCCTGCTTACTGATAGTATAGAGGCTTTTTATAATAATTAAACCTATATCCATAAGGTTCCGAATTGATACGTTATATCTATACGGTACATATTGAATATATATTCAATTTTCTTAGATTGTTTAAATGCATTAGTAAATGCTATAAATTTATTTTACCATTCTTAATCATTAAAACATAATCTCACAATAATTAAATTAAAAATATTAACAAGACACCGTTGTCATTATTGAATACGTTTATATAATTTAATATTTTTATATTGAACTTTTGTCTAGATGATTTAGTTATTATTTTTACACACTGTAGTAAAATCATGTTTAAATTTTATATAATTTTATGCCAAAAAAGTTTAGGCTAATTAATTCTAAATTTTCAAACAACCAATTTTAGCAAAAATATTTATTTATTTAAATATATATTTTTTATTACGTCATTTTTGACCAATTCAAAATGGCCACTTATTTGCTGTAGTGTTGCCAACATTTTTGAATAACGTGATTTTGTAAATAAAAAAAGAATTGTCACTAACGGACTATATATATATTACGAGTATATCCAAACTTTCAACTATCGAAACTCTTTAGCAAATTTTTATAAATTTTGTTATATGTTAAGCCCTTTCCGAGTTAGTGCAACTGGACACTTTTACTCTATGTTAGCTGGGGGGATTCTGCAGAGTCCCGTCCATCTCACTGACTAATTTGAGTATTCCTGATAATCTTCGTGAATATTCAATGATTGATTTAAGATCTGCATACCGCCCCATGCGGTTAGTGATTGCTCTGAGATTAGATAGTGCTAGGTAGGGCAGCCAGTCGGTTTTCGCATATAGCTTCAGAGTTCTGTCCCTTATACATTTTTTGTATGAATATTTAATCAAAAGTATATCTGATAATAGCACATGAGTCGAATTACTTAGGATAGTGTATACGCTATGTGTACTTTTCTTATTGAGCACTGAATTAAAATTATGGAAATGAAATTCCATAATTGGAAATTCATTAAATTTTGATTTTTTTTTTTTTTTAAATTCAATCTTTAAAATTTTTTGGTAGAAAACATCTTTTACAGTATCCTATTTTACGTTGTTCTTCTAATTGGTTGTTTTTGCTTTTTGTGGAAAGAAAAAATTATATATTACTAAGTTTTCTTCCGTTTCACTTTTCCTTGTATTCAAAAAGACAGACATATATTCTGTCTTTTTATATTTTACTATGTATTAAAAAGTCAAGTAAACTATTTTGTTGTCAGTTTTGATATATTGAGGTTTCAACATTTGGATATTGAATATTTTCAGTACAATTTTTTTTGTATTCTATCATTTTGTTCAGAGGGAAAAATTAAAAAATCGGCTAACATTCTTCGTTTCCCATAAGATGCCTTTTATATCTTGAATGAAGTTAATCAATATAACCCTTTAAGGCGATTATTTAATATATGTTGATTCGAAGAGAATGTATTGATAAGGAATTTAAACGAGATAATGTTTCTACCACATTGTTTTCAACAATATTTGTTTAGAAATCGTGAAATACGCGATGTTAAATTTATCTATTTTATTTATAGTAACTAGATACATTCTTTATGAAATGCATTTTCCACAATATTTAAAATAATCTCCTAATTTGCATAGTAATTAGAGTGGTTAATTGAAAACAAAAATCGTACTTATGGTACATATAAGGTATTATCGATTTATTATCATACTATATGTTGAGCTAACCGTATGCATTCTTTTCCATATAGCTATTCATGCTGAAAATTTCGATTTATTATTACAATATAATAATATGTCAAGTAATCCAAAAAGTGTTTGATATTGGCATTAAAGTTTAAAAAATCACATAAAGAACACTTTATTGTCAAATTGACACTTGAGTATCTTAAATGAATAAATCTATTCAATATCGATCTGTACAGAAACCAATTTCTTGTATATAAAAACCAAATTGGATTTGTTTATAATGCGTTCAGGGCAAAATTCAAATGCAGTCCTGCATTATTGACTACAACATCAATTGCATCACATTAATTATATTAATATAAACATAAACTACTGTTATAGTTTTAATATATAGTGTATATGAAGATTTGTTAACCTCACTTTATTATAACAGTACGTTCACACTATCACACCATTAAAGCATCATATAATCAGCATTAAGTGTCATATATCATAACAAATCTAAACCAAATTCACACAAAGTATGCTTATCAAATCTAGCAATTTTATGTGTCAACGTCGCCTTATCAAATAGTTTATATGATGTCTAGATATACTTTATTTAAAAATCCATAGGTGACAACCCTCATATCTTACATATATCAAATTTGAATTTCACATCTTTTGCAAACGTCGTTATTATTAACTTGAATTGTATATTAACAATTGAGTCAACATTTCAAAATGAACAAGTAAACTTCAGAAAATTCCTAAAAACTATTTAATAAGTAACAATTTTTTTCAGGACAAAAGCCTTAATAACTGGTAAAAATTGGATAAAAAAAATTGCTAGGGAGTTGAACTCACCAGAAGCTGTTGTGAATTCAAGTTTCTCGGCCTTGATTAAGGTAATAAAATAATATATACATATATTTAACTTTGATATTATCTGAAATAAATATTATAAAAACATCTTTTAGTTAATTCATCTGAACTTGTATGGAGTGAAGACAAAGCTAATTGCCGCTGCGATTGTCTTCTATTGCCATCGTTCAAAAAACGTTCCTATATCATTTAAGGAAGCAGCAGAAAAATGCAAACTCAATAAAAAGCACCTAAGACTTCGTTACAACAAGATTTGCTCAGTTTTAGGGGAACAAACATTTGTTGAACCCATTGACTACATTCCACGTTTCTGCGAGGCCTTAGGTAAGTTAATATTGAAACTAAATTGAAACTAATTTTTTTCAATTTTTAACAAAATCATATTAAGGCTTGACCCAAGCTGATACTGTTGCAGCTTCTAAACTGTGCGTAAGAGCGAAAGATGTTATGGACCAATCACAAACAGTTAGAGCAGCTGTATCTATATGGGCGATCATAGAAGTTTGTATAATGGATAGAAATATAACACTTTTTATGAATTCATTGTGTATTGCAGAAAAATGAAATCCAAGTTCTGCTGGAAGATGTTAGTAAAGTTTGTGGTGTTAGTGTAAAAAACTTGACAAAGCACTACAACCTCTTGTACCCAACGTTTGAACATTTATTCAATACTCCACAGACTATTGAATAATTATTATAAACAAACAAGATAATATTAAATATACCAATAATAGTAATAGTAAATAACATAATAAATAGAAACAATACATAAAAACATAATATATAAAAACATAATACATAAATAAATAATAAATAAAAAAATAATCTAATACATGATAAGAGAAACCTACCATTACCAACAATTTGAGTACACAGGTAAGTAAAAGACTCGTAATTACTTCTTATTCGATATATATGATAATTTAGTTATTATTTAATTAATAAAATATATATAAGTAATTTATATATATATATAAGAAATATGTGAATAATATAAAAAGAAAGTTAATGATAAATAATACACAAAACAATATAATTTTTTTGTGACTTAATAATGCGAAATATGTGTTGCGCTAAGTTTGTTGATAAGAACTGTCCTTTGCAACATGTTTATAAGCTACCTATAAACATTTTCCTTAAAAAGTGGAACAATGTCTCCCCTTAAAGTTGGGGAAATATTGTATATAGTGTTTTGTCAAAGAAAAATTAAAAATATATGCCAAAATGACTTATAATTGACTTATTTATAACTTATAAAATTAAACTTAGACATATCTTTTATATAAAAATTTATTCTAATGCTTAACTTATAAACATGGATGTTCTTATAGGATAGCATATGTTACGACCTTAAAATTTTACCGGATTTAAATTTTCTAATATTTTATGACATACTTATACCTAGATTTATATTTATTTCCATACCTTGCTATTAGATCAATGGCGAAAATATAATTAAAACCAGGTTTCCCGATTTGATGGCCTTTTAAAAAATGATAGAATAATATTATAATAGATATTGTCAGACGTTCACATTATTTCATTTGCGTGCCATTAGCCTCCCCCTCCCCCCCACACTTTCTCGCTTCGTGACTATGCCAAAGCATAGAAGTTCAATATTTTTTAAATTTATTAGGTTTATCTAGTTATTAAATTTGATAAATGTACTTTACCAAAAAATTAGTAGATTAAAGCCGTATTGTGAATATAACTTGTTCACAATTAAAAACTTTGATTAACGATCAGTTCAGTCAAACATTTTTTAGGTGTAGTTTAAAATTTTAGATAACGTTCTAGCTAGTCTAAAGAACTAACTATTTTGTCTGTTAATGTAGAGGCAACAACCTGCATACACGGTTGCCACTTATGGTACTTTAGTACCAAAATTGGTACTTTTTTTTCCGTTTGGTACTCTGGTACTCATGTTCAAAAAATGGTACATTTTCGGCGACCCAACTTTATTGTGGATATTTTCAATTAATTTTTTATAAATGTAACTTGTATTGTTTTATACTTTTTGTACATTTTATATAAATTGTATTTTCTTATAAAAAGACAATAGAAAAATTTTGGACCTTTTTTTACAGAAATGGTACCTTTTTAAACCAATTTTGGTACGGAAAAAAATTTTCAAGTGGCAACCGTGCCTGCATATATGGTTTTTCAAGAAACCAGTAGTTTGTTACGAATTATTGAGGTTTTCGGTTTATCGGAGTACGAATCATCGCGATTCGATTGTATATAAATGTAATTTTAAATTAATAAATTTTTTTTTGAACTATCTGGTTTTGATTGCAGATATTGTGAGGTTCTCCTTTATATTTATATATAGTCCGATTGAAAGTATTTATGAGTATTTATAAAAGTATTTTCAAATTGAACTACTAATTATGTTAATTTATAATAATATAGTAGAACTATATATTTATACGTATGTATGTATGTATTATGTGTATATATACTATCAAATATAATGAATTAAACATGAAATAAATTATTATGCCGTAAAAGAGTTTAAAGATTTTTAATTGGCTGTCAATAAACATGGTTTAGATTATATAAGAGTATATGACTAACTTTATAAATATTTTTATTTTAAGTTAAATAATAGATCTTTTCTATTTTTGATTGCAGCTGGTTTTTATTTATAAATAATCATCCAAATGGCCAAATGAGCATCACTGAATGGAATTGCTAAGCAGCAGAAACCAGTACACTTACAATATCAATTACTGGGATCAACTATTAAATTTAGCTGGCTGTGGTGTTATTATATTTGCATCGTTTGAGTTCATCATTAATCTTAACAACATATAGCAAAAGCATGCAGACAACAACTTCAACTTGCATTATTACCAATCCAGAGAGAAGAGAAGTCCACTTTTTAATAATTCTAGACTACTTAAACTACTTAAACAACCAGCAATAACCACAGCAATTATGCAAAACACAATTCTTGACTTCATTTCATTGTTAATAATATTAACAGTTGACAGCTTATTTAACAGTTGATTAGTTCTGAATAGTTCTGAGAACATTCGACAATTTTTATAATCATAGTTAGAATCATAATATAAATAAACTTACAACACCTGATTGCTATGGCACTTTTCAAAATTTACTCCTTTAAGATAAGTCCTTTAATTAAGTAAATAAGTCATTTTACATTTTTTTAATATTAATTTTTTAAAATTTTTTAATAATTCTTATAAATCATAAAAATATGACTAAGTTAATTAACATTAATTAATTATTGTCTTTTTCTTTAAACCCAATTTATTGCTTCAACGCAAATCTAACAAAAAATTTCTTGCAAAGACAAGTTTCTGCAAGCAAAGCTACAATTTACTTCTTAAGCAATTCAATTTTATTTAATTCAGAAAGGAAAATATTTTAAAAATTTTAAATTTAAATCAAATTGTATAAAATCAAAATTTTATTACTCACCATTAAAACTAATTTAAATAAAATGAGAAATGCACCATTAGAATGGAGATTTCTGAAGTTTCGCTACAGGCCATTTTAACAGGGCAGACAATAGAGTTAACTGAATGGTGACACTGACATAACATAACCATAAGCAATAATAAAGAAGACAGTCCAAGGATAGTACAACACATCTTCCAGAAGGCAAAAATAAATAAAAGGAAGATAGCAGGGAAATGTGTTATGACTATGCCATCATTACTTGAAATCTATAGAGCTACTCTGCGAGTAACAGGAATAGAGCAACTGTATCAGTTCAAGTATTCACAGATATTTATTAATTGCTTTTTGCAAATAGAAATTTTCAAATTAAAACACAAAAAAGAGTTAATTTGCAAATATTGCGAAAAAAAATTTCGTTACCATATATACCGTGTCATATCAAATCGTGTTTATACGGACACAACTTAGCAGTTCTCATAGTTCCCATTTCTTTTATAATAACATTTTACCGTGTATTGCTAAAAAGTTTCGATAGATTTTAAGAAGACGTTCATACGTACGTGATTTAATGGCCGTAATAAAATTATGATATATATAATAATAAAAAATAATTAAATGTAATAAAATGATAAATAAATTCATTTTCACAACTATAAGGGAATTTGCACTTGTTAAATCTTTTTCCCGTTGTATATTCCTTATCTACTTACTATCTTTTTAAAATATTTACGTATAACATATGATATATGACATATATCATTTATATATATATATGACATCTACATATGATAATATATGTCATCATATTTATTTGTTTGAACTTTAAAGATATTTTGCTTTGAATTTACATATCAATGCATCTCTATGAAAATATAAGTATTTAGTGAATGCTACTAAAAACTTTAGCAACTACCCTACACCCATAAAGACAATAAAAAAGAAAAATGGCACAATAAAATGGTTAAGGGAAGTGTGGCCAAAAAGTGGTTAGCGCTAAATTATTTAGGCTAGAAATGTTGTTTGGTTGATTGCTGTTGTTTGGTGGCTTTGTTGGTTTAAGTAGGAAATCCGTCCAAAACTAATCAATGGAAGGCACTAAATTAAAATACATATGAATATATAATAAAAAAACAGAAGGAACACCATTTAAATAAGCTTTTTCTTAAAATCCTTTTTAATTTCGCTTTAATCCTCACTACTGCTGTATTCACTTTTCATTTTTATTGATTATTGTAAATATTACTTAAGTTTATATTTATTTTAGTTTATATTTATAAAGAAACAAGAAACTTAGTTGAGCGATGTACTGGAATTTAAAAAATTAGACTTTGGTGGCTAACAAATGAAAGGATTCTGCTAAAGTAAAGAAAATTAAATTAAAGAAACCAAACATGTTAATACTACTAGTACTAGTACTGGAACCGAGAGAAGAAATCTTGCGTATTCGTACATATGTTTTCTCAGATGATCACATTGCATGTTGCGGTTACATTGCTTGCGAATTGACAATTCTGTTTTGTTTGTTTTGAGAGCAAAATTGATAGTTCAGATGAAATATATTTAACAGAAAATTCATTATCAAGGTTTTTTTTTATTTTAAAAAACAAAAGATCAATTTCGGTGCATGTTTTTTATTCTTCAAGGAATAAATATAGAGATTTTGTCCATTTCTCAAATAAAGAAATTAGCAAATCGTAATCCCTTTCCTGAAGAAGTGTATGATTTCAAATTTTCAAAAAATTACGTGAAAACAACACATTTCATTATTTACATATTTGGTTTTTCACGAAGGCATGAAATTCAAACAAAATATTTTGTTTAATCAAATATTCGCATGAGTAAGACAAGACGTCGTGCGAATAATTCTCAGCAACTTTAACCACTCACATAGGATTACATACATACGATTTGTTCGTGCGAACACGCAAGACAAAATTCGCATGCAATATTACCGCAGCCTAAATCAATAAATGCATGTTAAATAATTAATATTTACAACAGATATTTAAAAGTATTTTTATTAATATTAAAGTGGTAATACAGAAGTATCACAGATGTAATAGTTTGACTCTATCACTACTGATTCTTCAGAAAAAGCTTTCGTTGCAAAAAAAAATTGACAACCAATAGATGCAATACTCTAACTTTGACATTATAATAAATATTTATAATAATTAATTTTATGATTCTAAAGTATAGAATTCCATATTATGAAGATATTTTTTTTATTTATGTGTTTTATGGTGAAAAATCTTTCTTACTTATTCACCATACCAAAATTGTCAAATATTAAAATCAGTGTGGTTTATAACCTGAATGTTTACTACTTCTGTGATTACTTATTAGTATGTTGTCATTTCTTCTAATAAGAAGAAATAGTATAATTATTGTTATTGGGAAATCCATTGTGTATATTAATTTCATTGTAATAAGTAAATATAGGTATGAATTTTAAATTTATTTTATAAATCAAATATAAAATAAAAAACAACCCAACTAAAATCAGTAGTGCTTTAATTATTATTCATAATGTAAATATATATAATTACCATGAAAATGTTATAACGAATTGTAAAAAATGTATAGCATTTGTTAAAATGAAAGTAATTTTCAAAAAGGTTAGACGATTTCCAAAAGGTTGGACTAAACAAGTCAGCAGTGTTGTTGTTTCACATGTTACTTTTAAAATAAGCAGTTGTTCTTTTGTGATATGCTTACAAAAGAAAAGGCCTATTATAGAATATTCTAACGATAGCAAAATTTGGAAACTTGTGTTATAAGAACTGAAAAAAATTATAAAAGTATAAAATAAATTTTTTTAATGTAATAAAAATTATATTTATGTTGAGCAATAGCATTTTACAAGAAAGTGTAAACTGCGGTGAGAAATAAGTTTTTCGACCCACAGTCCAATGACTGATGATCACCCATAACAGCTGTTTCGTTCCTTTAATATAGGCTTTGTGGGATTTTTATTATTTTAGTTGAAATGCTCTTTTTCATAGCTTTTAAGAATTTGTTTTTCGAATTAATGGTGTCAAGTAATACCTTGACACCAAAAAAAAAAAACGAATGTAAACAAGTGCTTTTTATTTCCTTTGCCGAAAATTTTAAAAAAAAAAATTGCGGTAAATTATGTAGTAGTCATTTTGAAGTCGTGACTGATATATACTTAACATGTTAATATTTTTTAACAAATATGTTAAGATTGCCAAAATGATAAAAGTGAAGGTTTTCTTTGCAGTATATGTATATTTATATATTATATTACCCTAAACTTAATTTTATCATACCGCTGGCTAAATTATCTAGAACTAAATTGCTGTAGTTAGCTTTTAATGTGTATATTTGTAATTAAGTTATTAAAGACTATTTCCTACTCTAACTAATAAAATTATAATTTTTTGAATTACTGTTAAAGTATAAACTAGAATTTTTCAGGATGAATATACGCACAATATCATATAATATATATACATGTAATGCATGTATATATATATAACTTTCCATATTAACTTTTACTTAAATTTTTTTTTGTGTATACCAAATGAACTGCGACAATGTAATTTTGATGGCATTGAGTGCTGTAAAAGTATTCCAGAATTTCCGAACATTTTTAAATTTAGATGACAGGCATATATTCAGAAGTCAGCAACTAACTTCACGAGAGTCCCTTTTTCTTTTTCACATTCTAGTCTTCGTGTACGGTCGTGTTTCCGCTGCGCTCTGAAAGGAACTTAGAAAAATGGGTAAAAAACGTTACACTGTATCGAAAGCAGTTTCGGTTTTGATGACTGATGTCGATCAACACGCGGTTACTTCATCGTTGGCCGTTATGTTAAAAAAGTAAGTATATATACCTTTATATAATCAGTAAAATAAATAAATAGTAATATTTCGTCTATATAAATTTTTTACAGAAATGGCAAAGTTAAGGTGCCAACGGATATTGAATTCTTTAAGACTGGCATGTTCAAGGAAATTGGACCAGATGATGCCGATTGGTTTTATGCGCGATGTGCTTCAATTTTGCGTCATTTGTACAAGCGGCGCCCTCTTGGCGTTGGTAGGCTTTGCAAAATTTATGGCGGTCGCCTCCGTCGTGGTAATCGTCCTGGACGCTTTTGCAAAGCTTCTGGTGGTGTTATGCGCAGAGCCTTAAAAGCTTTAGAGGATGGGAAAATGGTGATTCGTAAGCCGAATGGCAGTCGTGTATTGACACCTACTCTGCAACGTGACATGGATCGGCTTGCGCAAGTGATTATTAAAATAGACAGGGAGGTCTTGGCATTGCAGCAGAAACTCAAAAAAATACGCAAACCAGTTTCTAATAGGATGTATAAGATTAAAATTAGAAACACATAAATTTAATTGTATGAAAATTACAAAAATAAAATATAAATATATGTAATTTATATATATATGTGGCTTTTAGTGTCAGACAGCTTAAAAATGATTTGCTTTGCTATATATAAGTGTTCTCAGCACAAGACAGAGTATTTACAAGACAGACTAAGCGTTTGAAGCCAATATACTTAATAATTCCAACTGTGTCGGAACACTTGCAAATTAAAAACTTTAATTTAGTTTATGTGAATTTTGTTAAAGGTGACTATATTTACCGTTTTAAACGGTACTGTTCAGTTATTTCGAAAATATTTTAATTATTTAAAAAATTGTAGAAAACACCATGTTGATATAGTAGCTATTTAGATCGACATGCCTTTGATAATAACTGGACAATTTATCTTTCTGATATGTTTTCAAAGGAGTTACAGTCTGATTTATATATTCTTTTACGTTGGTTTCTTAAAAAGTTAGTATCAGATATCAGATACAACTCAGCTTTCAATAGATTCTTAGTTTTGAAATTACTCTGATATAGCCACCTATTAAGTTTCAGATACTAGTTAGTTAGTGATTTTATTGTTTAATATATTAACTTAAGCAATTACATAGAATTTTAATTACTGCAAAATAGGTGCAAATCATTACGTCATTGCCTTCCTGTGTGCACAATTGCATTTGTTATACTTAAAGACACTATGATAGTCTCATATTTATACTATGGAGAAATCAAGGCTTTAAGCGACTCACTTTTTCAAGCAATTCAGCCTATATTACTTTACTGCGTCCCATAGTGATCAAGTTTTCAATTCGGAACCATTCAACAACTGTAAAGATAGTGTCACCTGTCAGCCTTGTTGACGTTCTATTATTTAAAAAAGGGAGACTTTCAGACAGGCTACCCTAGATCCCTATCGGTTATGTAGTGGTGACTGTTATGAAAATATAAATTAACACCGCTATTATTATTGTTTTCATTCGATTTAAATAACATTTGTAATTTTAAATTTCGATTTTAATATTTATAAATTTACACACATATGTACATTATTTTAATTGTGTTATCTTAAATTGGTGCATTCCCCCGATTCGTAGGCTTCAAAATGCACATCTTTCGGTATAACGCAATGCACATCGACTAGAAAGACGCCTATTTCTAGTAGATAGGAGTCCCAAATCATCCAGGACATATAAGCACTCACGTTGTAAGATTTCCGAAGCAAAAGCGCTTATTAAAACCACTTCAAACGAATCTAGTCAAAGTAAACTTGGCAACGGTGCACACTGTGTTATAAACAAATACAATTTAAAGAATTTTAGGTTATGTTTTTCTTATTATTTGCGATATCCATTATAAATTAAAATAATAATATTAGATAGTAATATTTATTAAGTCATAACCAATTAAATTGAAAATATTTTGTTTATGTTGCTTAAATAATGACATTAAAATGTGTTCCTTCACATTGTTCCACAATATCATTCATTCCATAGAAAAGAATCAGTGCACTGTACCAGAAAAGGGAGCAAAGAGAATTGAAAATTTTCTTTAACTTCGTTGAGTCTCACTTCATATATCTAATAATTCTCTTTGAACAGGCCACAGCAATAGAAGGTGGGGGAAGGGGAAATTTTATTTCTTGTTGTATTTTAGAAGAATTGACATAGATATAAAGAATCGAATGCAATAATATAAGAAATTATAAAGACACTGCATACAAAAAACTTTTTCTCATTATCTTTTAAAGATGACAATATCTTTTAATATATCAATAACAACATCCAATCGTAGTATAATTGAAAATATTAATATTGCTTTAGGATTTTTCCATCTTCATAATTATTATTATATTATGGAAAAGGGTTTAGAAATAATATTTTAATCACTGTATTATACTACTCTCAAAGCCCTAAATTAATAACTGACATGCGCAAATAATGAATTAATTAAAAATTAGTTGGTACCCAGTAGTTCTTTGGGAGACAATTGTCGCTAGGCACTAGTACACGAAGTAGCCCAAAGGAATTAGTGAAATGAGTGGTCCGCGGGGATGAGTTAAGTCGCCACTTAGAATATATAAATTTCTCAATACTTTTTTTGGACAAAATTTAATAGTGCATTATATTATTTTTGAACAAGAAAAAACCAAAAATATAGTTATTTATTTTGGAACTGGTGCATATGTTATGTTGACCTCTAGTAATACAACGATTCACCACTTGAAACAAAAATCCATTGTTTATGCTTGTTGTGCATAAACAAATTGAGAGCAATATGCATCGTTCTCTTGTTTTTAATATTATGCCTCTTTCATAATAGAGCTTTGACTGAAAGTGGTTAGTGGACTGTGAACCTATGAATGAAGAAGATCAAATAATATCTACATATATAGTATATATATATATATGCTAGTGCCGCGTTGTGTGGGGACAATTGACACCATTCTACTGCTTATAACTAGTAAAAAAACCTAGTGCCGCTATCAATGGTACGGAGGCAATTCTAACTCTTATGAACTAGTGCCGAGGTATATCACACGGAGACAATTGACACCGGCAATGACAAGTCAATGTAAAATTCACCAGTTGAGCCCACGTTAAGTGAATTATGAAGCGACTAGTACTATAAACCTGGAGACTAGTGAATTCACTAGTTCAGAACTAGTCGCCGGCGCTGCTGGGTAGTTTATTATGTACATATGTATACTACTTTGGTACACGTCTTAATTTCTAATTTCCTTTTTTTCTACAACAATAAATTGTATTATTTTTAGTTAATGACTTAACTTCGATAATTTTTCGTTTCATCTGTAAAAACATTTTAATTAATAATTTGTATATTTTGTAAAATAATTTAATTCCGTTTTAATTTTTTTATTCGTATGTAATCAATCGAAACGGACTTTTAATGTCAAAAATCAAAACAAACAACGAAATTTCTTAGAAAGTGTTCTTATTTTAGCAAACATCGTGGTGAGTAGAAACCGAGTGGGCAAAATAGCAAGACCGGGTGGGGAAAATGATCATGCGTCATTGTGTAGCATTAGGGTTTTTGTACTGCATGATATTTTCACCTCATTACACAACATTTTGAATATTATTTGAATAATCCAAAAAACTTCATACACAATTTTTCGTGTAACTCTTAGTTTCTTTTCTTTATCTTCTTTGAACCAGACATTCGATTTTTAGAATTATCGAAACAGTGCTGACAACTTTTGATTCGAGAAATACAAAAGTCAGCAATCGTTTCGGCGACTCTTTCTTATTGGAAAGTCATTTGTTGAGTGTAGTTGAAGTTTGAAGACGTTGAAAGGTTTAATAGTTATTTTATTCTATAAATATACAATTTTGTACAATCTGATTGAAATTGGTACTTATAAAGGCGTAAGTATGCTTTATAACAATATTTCGATTATTTCTAGTGAAATCTTTATTGAATTATCGTGTTAAGAAAATCATATTTCATACGTGCAAAAAATAAACCAAAAAAAAAAAAATGGCGGGATTTTGCGGTTGATGAATTTCATTTAACTAAGCAAACTGACGGCGGTATTTCAGTATTAAGTATAAATAATAAAAGCTTCTTAGAGGATTTATCTAATTAGGATTTGAACATAAATGCAAATATTACTTTCTCAGAAAAAGAAGATAGATATATTGATTTAATTGATGTACGGAATGTAAGAAATGGAGGAGCGTCGCCTGCAATTTTCACCGCGTCGCGGTTTTTAAAGCGACATCAAAACGGGTTTTCAGACTATTATAATTTAATTTTGAACCATTCTAAAATAAAAATTTAATAGGTGCTGCGCAAAAGATAAAATTAAACTTTTATTTTCTTAATAATTAAATATCGAAAAAATATGATAAAACCATTTAATTTTTTAGAAAATTGAACAAACGCTACAGTCTCACTACGAATTTTTTTCCAAAGTAGTAGACAAACGTGAAGTCCGCCAATTACCGGATCTTTAATCTTGTAGCGAAGTCAGCTGGAACGGCAGTGTAGTTAGTGGCTACAGTAACTGAAATATAAATAGATATTTTAGACAAACGTGTTTATAAATACGGTGAAAGTGTCCAAATGGCTCTTAATATTTTTAATAAACTCAAGAAGTTTTTCGGAAGTGGTTTGAGCAATAATAATGATGATCTGGATAGATCACGTAAGCGTAGGTAAGTATTCTTATGAAGTATTAAATCATTAAAGTATATATAATTATAAAGTGGAATTTTAATCATTAAAGTATATTATTTCTACATAAAAGTTAATATTTTATAAATATAAATAAATCTAATGGCATTATGATTGGTAAATCTGTTAAATTTTTTTGCCCAATCCAAAATTTTTAGAGTAATCTAACATATTTGTAGTAGTATTAGTAGACATTTATATTTTTCATAAATACATATATCGAGTCAAATCACTTATATCGAATCAAAAGCATATAAAACAATCTAGATACTCTAGCAAAATATCTAGAGTTTTATAAAAGTATCTCGAGTGTTGTACATTTTGTTCCGGATTTAATAATTGAAAATGAAGGTACACTAAAATTGCATTAAAAGAGCATCTCGATTGAAAACATTACCGCAGATTTACTAATCCAAAACGCCATAAATAAAGTTGGCTATATTTTAATTCCGATAAGAAAAAAATTAATTAAATGTAGAGATGAAATTGTTTATGAGAAAGTGCGACTATTCAATTTATAATCAAATAATGTTGTTAAAAATTAATTTATAAGCAAAATAATGGCCGTTACAGTTTCAATTTTTTGTAGAAATATTAATCATTTAAACCCTACATATTTCGATATAATAAAATAGTTTTGTGGTTTCCTTTTCAGCTCAGACAGTCCAGTCACAGGTGCTAGTCTCGTGAAATATAGGATGGTTAATAATACAAATTCAGAATTTGTGAGTGATACATCTGACGGTGAGTAGCATTTATAAAATGTAACAATAATCTATTCTTTCATTCATCATGTTACCACAAATTATATTGAATTGAGATCTAATAAAAAAAAAGTTTTCAAATTTTTCAAAAGTTGTCCATTACTCAACGCAGTGAAATGTCCCAGCGGTTGCTATAGCAAACATTTGATATGTTAATAAAAAAAGAATTCTATACTTTTTACTCCTCAGCCTATGCCTCACAAAGTTGTCAAATATACACAAAATTGTAATATAAAAAACCTATTAGAAGAAGAACGAAAATGTTTACCAAACCAATCTTTGTCATTATTTGAAATGGCTCCATTAGGATTAGCGTAATTAAATACAGTTCAAAGACCCATCTATTCTCAAACACTAATTTATAGTGCTATGAATACACGCAAACGTTTGGACCATAATAGTTCTTTTAATCACGCTTTTGCAAACCATACCAATTCTACAAACATTAAAAAAAAACCATATTTAAAGTACTTAAATTATTTCACTTATTAGCAGGCATTGAACAGGATTTGTCAACAAATACTGAAACGGTCTCTCCCCTGCCGTCATCATCATTTAATCACCGTGAAAAATATGCGGAATTACTGCAGACGTTAGCAATTAATTGCGATACATCACAGTATGCGCCATCTACATCGAAGAATGTTAATTGTAGTTCTCAAAAAGCACCACAACATAGTCTCTGTTCGGAGAGAGTCAACACTACAGCACACTACAACGCTCCACTTTCAGATTGTTCAGTAGATCTTGATGAAGGCAGTGATGAATGCAAAGTACTAACAAAGTCTGAACAAGCGGTTATATCACAAAGCAATGAAATAAAGGAAGTTGATGAAATTTGTTTGAATGATAATAGCTCTGCAGATGAAATGGAATTGTAAGAAGCTATTAATATCTCATCTCACATAAATTTTCATATGGTTCATTACAGGCCAAAGGTTACACCAGTTAAATCGCTAATGGAGCGTTTTGGACTTTCATGCTACCTTAACAAAGATTGGTTAAAAGATTTTGACATCACCTATTGGAAAAAAAAGGACAACGAAGTTAAGTCAACAGTTGAGGAAAAAATTGTCATTGATGAAAACAAAATGTTTGAATTGAATGATCAGCACCACGAACTGATTAAGCGAGTTTTGGAATCACCACCAGATCAGGTATATTCAATAAACTTATTTAGCTTTATATCATTTCAATACCGAAATTTTAGGTGCATATTAACAAATTCAATCTTAACGTTACAACTAGAGACTTGCGCACCTTAATGACCGACAGGTGGGTGAATGATGAGGTAATCAATTTTTACATGAATTTATTGATGGAGCGCAGTGAAAAAAAGAATAATGTGCCCGTTCTAAAAATCTACAGCATGAACACATTTTTTATTCCTCGCCTATTAAAACACGGCTTTATTGGTGTCAGACGATGGACGCTTAAAGTGGACATCTTAGAAAAAGACATAATAGTTGTTCCCGTCCATGTAAGCGGTGTTCATTGGTGTATGGCTATAATTCACCTTAAGAATAAGTCTATAAAGTATTATGATTCAATGGGAATACCTAATCCAAAAGTGTTAAGTGCATTGGAGGAGTACCTTAAGGAAGAGTCGCTCGATAAAAAAAAAATTGCGTTTGATACCTCTGGATTCCTTATTGAATCAGTAAACGATGTGCCGCGACAAATGAATTCTACCGACTGCGGTGTTTTCAGCTGCATGTTCGCCGAGTACATTACGCGTGATAAGGCAATCACCTTTAGCCAAGAGCATATGGAATATTTTCGTCAAAAAATGATTGTTGAAATTGTGGGAGGAGAGCTCTTGCAGTAAATTTCCCTAGATATATAACCATTCACATTAATAATATAAGAAACTGTTTAAAGTCACCTTTAATTACTTATATCACTTAGTTGAAAAAACTGTAATCCGGAAATCTTTAATTTTAAATTATCGTTGAGTTATTTCAAATATTTACAATTAATGAAAAAAAATAGAACAGAAGAAAAGGGAAAAAGTAATAAAATACATATTAATTTTTTTTTGCTTTATAAGTTAGTTCAAATAGTAATGAAAAGACAATAATAAAAATTTTTGTCAATTTATTGATAACTATTTATTGATATGATAGTTATACATACATAAAATTAAAAATCATTAAAATGGTTAATTAAAAAGTTCCGGAATAACTAAATTTTAAAAATAAATTATATTTTCATATAATTTACACATGATAATCACACATTCATACTCTTTGTGATTAAGTTATGGTATTACAAATAGCATAGATATGTTTGATATTATCAATTGCAAACTGGTTAAGATTTATTTTAAAGTTTGCATTTTAAAAATTAAAAAAAAATATATATTATGTGTATTCAAATGATGTAGTGAATAAAAGTAGTAGTACAAGCCTTGAAGACGATCTTGATAAGTAATGTTCAAAAACTACATCAACAACACTACATCGTCTTAAAAGTATAGAATATGATTTTACAAGATTGTTAAAGAATAAAAATATATTAAATGTAAGCTCCAACCATTTTATTAGACATAATAAACAATATTGTAGTACTCGGAACAGCTGTATGGTCAGCTAAAAGTGGAATTAATTAAAATAATGTAAAATAATTTTTGTTATTATAGTTCACTACTGTGAGAGACTTCTCTGTTTATAATTATTTTCAATAAAAAGAAATTTTTTTTTTATACTCGTATGTATATTGTTAGAAAATAAAATAAGTAAAAGAAAGAATAATTGATTTGTAATAATAACTACCTGTCTAAGAATATTTAAGCCGGAGACATATGAAAAGCTAACCCTTATTCTAAATTATTGTTAATTATATATTAATTAAATGTTAATGTTAAAATAACACAAAATTTTCATTTATGTATTTTTTTTATAATTATTCTCCCTATTTGACGTTCTTAGAAATGTTCAGATCGGAAAATAGGCGTTCTATTTCAAATTGGTAATAAAGAGAATTTCTCATAAAACATCATAATGTGTTATGAAGTTAATTTGGCTTTTAATTAGATTAAAATCTTAAAAAAGCAACACTTAAGTTGCACAAATACACAAACAACAAATGAGCAGAAGTCACTGAAATGTAAAAAATTTTAATTTATCTCATCCCAAGTTTAAATGACATTTACCCAAGTGTTGTTATGATTGTTGTTGTTGTTGTTGTTGTGATGGTTTGTCAAATGAATTTAAGGCTCATTATTTTTTGGCAACTTCTCTGCAACTCAAAGCGATTTTCCCTCAACACTGAAATGTTTTATTCAGGAAGGAATATAGAAGGAAGCTGGCATTAAGAAAAATTTCATTTGTAATTTCTTTAACAAAAGTGTTACCCCCGAACTCTAAGGGTTGAATCAAATCAATGCGGGCGCAAGTCTGAAGGTCTTTGCTGTCTAACTTCACTTTGACATTCATATTTTATTCATTTTGTATGCTCAAATTAATGTTGATTTAAATTTTCACAGAAGTGTTATCAAAAGACGGAAGAAGTCTTGAAATTTTAATTCTGGTGTAGTGAGGAACTCATTTTACACAAAGTACTCGTATAATTGGCACATCCTTTACGTGTATACAATATATAAAAAAATTGATTTCGGTTGAAGTTCATTTAATGGTTTTTGGATTAGTTAAAATCTTGTATTCAATAATTAAATATATTATGAGTATTATTTCTTGAATTCTCTAATACCCAATTTCGTTCAAAAGTGAATTTCATTCCACAAATTACTTCAACTGCTTCCAATAATAAAATCAAGTCTTTAAGAAATGATACCACAAAATTTATGAATTCTTTAAAAATCTAAATTAACAAAAAAAAAACAAAAAAAAAATCACAATATTTAAGTTGATGAAACCATTTCCTCATGTTTCCATACAAAATGTGCAAACGCACTGCCTTGGCAATAATTTCTGTACTCGAAAAAGGAAATCACATCAAGGCAACTGTGATTACTTATTAAGCACTTTCAATTTATGTTAACAAGCGGTTAATGTGATATGGTTCTCAAGTAGCACACAACTTGGCATATCATCATCCGAAAATATGAAGCATGAAATATGAAATATGAAAATAACAACGAAAATTGTCAATATCGAATCTATTTATGGATACGAGTGCGTCCTATGAATTTTGTGCCAATAAAATTGTATGAATTTTTGGGTGATATTCCGGCATGAATATGAAAATTGCGTGGTTGAAGTCTTTATTTGCTTGCTGAATTTAATGAAAAATTGTCATGACAAAAGTCGATCATGAGCACAGCAAATAATGAGCTATTGTTCAGAATTTTTTCCCATGTTTATTGGTACTTACTCACATAATGCATAAGGGTCTCTATTATATGGTTTATCTGTTAATTTCAAATGGATTACACTTGCTGCTTATTGACGTGGGTAAGTAAAAAGTTTCCGAAAAGTATTGAACTACAACAACAAAAATTCATTTTTATATTATTTTAATAAATTGAATTTTTGCTGACCATACATCTATTTCGAGTATTGCCAAATACCCATCATCAGTGGACTTGGAAATAATTCTTGTATTTAATTATTCGTAAATAATTTTTTAAGACTGTAGGTACCAGGAATCGAAATTTAATATCAAAGTGTTCGAATTAAAAAGGTGATAATGGCGAGAAAATTCTCAAAATTAAAATTATATATATTATTAAGTGATCTTTTGGACTGACAAAAAAGCTGTTTCAAAGATCGCCAAATAATCATCTTCTGTAGTCAAATGTTTAATTTTTTCCTTTCTTATATTGCTTCTTTGTGCAAATGCCAGTCGCTGGCAGCGTAGTTTAAAGTAAATAAAATAACTTCCCATGCTACTCTTAACGATTAAATTGAATTTGACAATGAAATTTGTACATCAAGCTCTCCTACAGTTGACGATAGTATTGAAAACAATTCTAAACGCAATGGAAAGTAATGATGAGGGGATGAGAAAATATAAGACTCATTTGAAATTCAGAATTTATATTTGCATCGAATGATATTACAAGTGATGATCACTATATTAGTATGAATAGAGTGGAATCTCTTTTTATTGAAAATAAGAAAAAAATCCTGAAGTCCCAAACCCTGATTTCTGAATATTTTACTTCACTTTAACTGTTGTGCTTTATTTGATTGATAAAAAAAAATAAATAAAAAATTCTCTAACTCGACGTGTCCATAAGTCGAACCTTTTCTTTGTAGAATCAGACCACGAGTTATCGAAGTTTGACTGTAATTTGAAAAATATTGATCATTTTTTTATGCACATAAGGTTTTCTGAATTAAGTTGAATTTTTCGCACTTCGATTATTTTGGACGCAATGGGAACTTGAAAAATTGTCAAGTGACATATCGAAAACAAATTATGTGTTAACTGCCAATAAATCTTACACATTAAATACTGACGGCAGTATGTGGATAGTACATTTATTAAAATTAAAATTAATTAAATTAATTAAAATTAATTAAATTAAAAATGTGAGTTCTTAACTAGAAAAACATGAAAAATTACTCTATGATTCATTACACTTGAGAATATATAAAATATCATTACTGATACTTTCTATACAACTCTTAATCCAGCTAATATATCCAAAAAAAATACTTCTTAATTTTTAAATTTTTTATACCAAGGAAGGATGGGGTTTTGATCTATAACAAAAAGCTATGATTATATTAAAAATAATGCTTTAAATTCGATTTAAATATGATACACGCCTGCATTTATATACTTATTTCCAGAAAATTGTAAAAAGTGCTACTGCAGCACTTTTAAATACACCAAAAATTGTGACCTATTATTATTGTATATATATATTTTACTTTAAAGACTTAGTATAATTAATCATTTTATTTAATACTTATAGGCGATTCCCAATACAGGTTTTGTTTTAAGTTATAATATGAAAAGGTTATGTTAATCATGTTCAATTTTACTATATATATTATGAAAAATTAATAATACATTAGGTATTCCTTTTTTATATAATTTGTAGGTCTTTATAGTGTTACCAAACAACTGGATTTCTTAAGCTTATGTATTAATACAAATTCCGAAAAATTCACAATCCGTTAATAGTTCCATAATGTTTGCAAATAGACCTTCTGGGTACACTGCACAAACATCAACACTTGTTTTATTTTATTAAAATTTTAATTATAAATTTGACTTACTCCAAGTTCATCACTTCTAATCTAGCAAAAGTAAAGAAATTATTGTGCAATTTTTCTGACTATTAATCTGTGCCTATCGGGAAGGTGTAGTATTAATGAGGAAATGTTGAAAAAAATTGTTTGTAATCAAGTTAATTCTTGGATTACACTAGTTTACAAATAATTAAAAGTTTTGTGTGGCAAAGACGAGACCTATATATATTTTCTTTTCCTGTGTAACGTTTTCGAGTTATTTGCAAAAAACCGTTATTTTGACTTTTCTCAAAACATCACATTGCATATGCCCCCATAACTGTATTTCTGAATTTACCTCATACAGTATTGTACATATGCTTCTTCCACCTAATCTAACTTTAGCTCGACTAAACTGCATTATTTACTTCGTTTTCTGTGCTAAATTATTTCTACTAATATTATTTGCAGTATTCGTAAGTGAAGCATTTTGTATATAAAATTTTTAACTTTGGTATATTTTATTAATATTGACAATTATTTGCTACTTACAATATTGATTTGATTTTCCATTTTTGACTTCCTTTCACTTAACGACAGCTTGAGATTGATTTATTTATTTTTTGTTTTTTTGTCTGAAATATGTAATCAAAAATTGATATATTTTTATTTATACCAATGCACTTCCCTTCTAACAAGAAGATACTTATGCTGTTTTCAAGTGTTGCGTCTCTTGTTTAGATTTTTATTATATTTTCCTTTTACGGAATATCATAAA